GTCGGCAGCTCTGGGCGCACACGCGTTGACGAAGTCGGGGGTCTGGGAGAAGGGTTTCGGGGCTCGAGCTAAACCACGTGTTGGCGATCTCGTTGCCCGTTCTCATTTTGGCTTCGCTGTGCGGCGAAGAGGGAGCGAAGAGACAGGACCAACGCGGGAGACGCTGCTCAGCTCGAGCCCAGGAGAGTACCAAGAGAAGGCAGCTAGATGCACACTTATCCCCAGCCAGGGTCCTTATGAGTCCCACGAGGATGTGCAGCTCCCTATTCTCGGGGCCATGCAGAGTCCGTTCCGATTCGGTCGATCCGGTTCGATATCGATTTCGGCCAGCCCGATCCGATTCGACTCCGATGTTCCGACAGTCCGATGCGGCCCCATGCGGGCACGGCGCTGTTGAGCGTCCTCGCGCAGCCCGTCCGCCTCGGCTTCGCCGCCGTGCCGATGCAGTCCGATCCGACGCACGCTTCGGTCCGAGCTGTTCCCCCGATGGGGTGCCGACGGATCCTGCCGCGAGGCTGCACACACCACATCCAAGGGCCAAGATTGAATCGGGCATGCCCCTCTACAGCGGGAACATTCAAACAAATAGTTAAGTATAGTCTGGGGACGTTGACATGTGCATCTATATATGCGGATTATGATTGCATATGGTTTGACCTTTTTTATATTTTCCTCCAACATCAGCCTGTAGGAGGACATGCCCGACCGAAGGCCAAGGGCGGCCCTGACCAGGGATGGTTGTGGTGTGCGGTTGCGATCTCCGAAGGAGGGAGCACGTTGGGCGAGTGGGTGGGGGCCGAGCGGGGCAGAACGGGGCAGGGCCAGGGGGCGAGAGCGGAGGGCTGGGGGAGGCGAGGGATCATGAGAGGAGGAGGAGGAGGAGGGAGGAGAGGAGGAGGAGGAGGAGGAGGAGGGAGGAGGAGGAGGGAGGAGGAGGAGGAGGAGGAGGAGGAGGAGGAGAGGAGGAGGAGGAGGAGGAGGAGGAGGAGGAGGAGGAGGAGGCGGAGGAGAGGAGGAGGCGGAGGCGGAGGAGGAGAGGAGGAGGAGGAGGGAGGAGGAGGAGGAGGAGGAGGAGGAGGAGGAGGAGGAGGAGGAGGAGGAGGAGGAGGAGGAGGAGGGAGGAGGAGGCGGGAGGAGGAGGAGGAGGAGGAGGAGGAGGAGGAGGAGGAGGAGAGGAGGAGGAGGCGGAGGAGGGAGGAGGAGGAGGAGGAGAGGAGGGAGGAGAGGAGGAGGAGGAGGAGGCGGAGGAGGAGGAGGAGGAGGAGGAGGAGGAGGAGGAGGAGGAGGAGTGTGTCAACACCGCTGCCCTGACCTCGTCGCCACGGCGGGACTCGCCCCGAACCCCTGGTCAGAACGACGTACCCCCACAGGGGTCCAGGGAGCAGCGGCACCGGTATCGAGTGACCTTCGGCCCATCCCGCCACTTCGCCTGGGTTGTGGGTATGAGGCCTGTTGGATGTTCGTTGGGATCTAGTGGGAGGCCTCTGGGGGGCCTCTTGGAGGCAGTTTGGGCGCCGCGTGGCGGCCGTGTTGGGGCCTCGTGGGGCCTCTTTTGCGCCTCTTGGGAGCCTCTTGGGGCCTCTCGGGGGCCTCTTGTGGTATCGTGGGGCCTCCTGGGCGCCAGGCATCCTGGGGCCCCTCGGGGCGGAAGGCAAGGATTTTCGTGTTCCCTCTCTTGGGTCTCTTTTGGGGCCGTCTTGGGGCCCTCTCGGGTCGCTTCGGGCTCCTCTTGGGCCGTCTTGGGGCCCTCTTGGGCCGTTTGGAGCCCTCTTGGAGGCCTCTTGGGCCGTCGTGGGGCGGCCTTGGGGGCCTCCAGGGCCGTCTGGGAGCGTCGGGAAGCCGAAAAGGCAAGTACGCCAAAGTCTGTCAAACGCCGACGGGAAGTGCCTCTTGGGCCGTTTTGGAGGCCTCGTGGGCCGTCTGGAGGTCATTTTGAGCGTCTTGGAGCGATCGATTGGCGACTCGGGGCCTTCTTGGCTCGTCCAGGGGGGCCTCTTGGGGCCCTCTTGGCCCGTCTTGGGGACTTCTCGGGCCCGGCAACACTTCCCGGAGTTCAGGGGGCAAGCGACGAGCCCCATGGGGGCACGCGGGAAGCCCCGGGAGGTTCGGGAGCGAGGGGTCCGGGCCCTTGAAAGATTCCTTGGGAGTGAGGATTGGGGCTTGGAGGAGTGGGCCCAGGGCCCGAGGCCACGCCCACTCCGTGCCCAGAGGCACGGTGGCGGATTTTTTGGTCCTCCCTGGAGATGGAAGAGGGAGGGACGTGGGAAGGGAGCATTAGACGAGGTAAGGACGAGGGGGGGATAGGAGGATGAGGAGGAGGAGGAGGAATCATAATAACAGTAATACAGATAATAATGCGAACCGTAGTCATAATATTTCTATGAATACGAAGGCAAACAATCATAATAATGATCCGAACAAGAAGACGAATACTAATAATAAGAAGACTGATACTAACACTAAGACGAACATGAATCATACTACGAATGATAATGCTAATGTTAATCATATTGAGACATATAGTAATACACATATGATTATTAATGATAGCACGAATAATATTAATATCATAAATCATAAGAATAATACTGCCAATAATGATATTAAGGCTACGCGTAATAATAAGAAGGGTATTCATCATAAGGCGGCGACAACGACTACTACTCATAACAAAATGAATAATCATATAATAAGACAAAGGACACGACGAATGCAAATAATAAGAATAATCATGCGACGACTACTAAACTTATTACTATTATTAGTACTAGCAAGAGATACTGCTAGTATGCATATTAGTAGTACTAATGTATTAATACAATAATATCCAGAATCCATCGTACTACTATTGCTCATAGTAAGTTGTGTGAATATTGTACGAGTATTACCCAATCTAAGTATACTTGAATCTAATAGTATGAATATGCGCATATGATTAGTATTAATACTAATGTAATTAGATAAAGAATAAAACATGGTAATGCTATTATTACTAATAGTATTACTAATTATACTGGTAATATCAATGGTAATAAAACGAATCTTAATGAAATTAGCAGAAGACGAAGAAGACGAATCATCATCATAATGATAAGAAGAAGAAGATGCAGAGGAAAGGGAGGAGGAGGAGGAGGAGGAGGAGAAGGGGGAGTTTCTCCCGGAAGGGGCCTCTCGGGTTTCAGGGCCCGTCGGGTGCAGGCCGTCCAGCGAGGCCTCCTCGGACGGCCTGTCGCCATGGGCGGGGCAGTCCACTCCGGGGGCCGCCTGGGAGAGACACCGGTGGCGATTTTTTTTTGTGCGGGTGCGCTGGGGGCCTCTCCCAGGGCTACCTTCTTGGAAGCTTTGTCGGGGGCCTCGTGCTCTCGGGGCCACTTTTGGGAAATCTTGCGGCAGTCTGGGCTGCCTTTGGGGTATGGTGTTCCAACCTACTTTAGCCTTGATCGCTAGAAAGAATCTCGAGCACCAAGGGAGTACCGACATTTGAGGGTTTTCACGCGTCGGGCCCTGGGCGGCGACACTCGTTCGACGCTGTTTCGACACTTGTCTGAGGTGCTCGAGAGATTACTTCCGGGACGTGGTCCTCGCGTGCGATGGGAGCAACGTAGCCTTTGGGGCCTCCTGTGGGGCCAGTTTGGGGCCTGCCGATGGCCTCGTGGGAGCGTCGCGGGGCCTTTTTCGGCCCGCCTCGGAGCCCCGACGGGGGCCCTCGGGCGTCGTGGGCCCCTCTCCTGGGCCGTCTCTCGCGCTGCTCTCGCAGCCCTCGCGGGGCCTCGTGGGGTCGAGGGGGCAGGGGGAGGTGCCAACCTCTCCCCAGATTTACGTTGGGGCCTGTTCCTCTACAGGATATATATATATATACAAACACATACATATATATGTATGTATATATATACACACATATATATACATATATATATATACATATTCATAAATAGTAAAACATAGTTATGGGGGCATTAAGAAAACACAAGTTTGGAGTATGTTTGGAGTACTTTCGATATGTCGTCCAGAATCCGCCTGTAGGGGGACACGCCCGACCTAACCCCAGATCAGGATCGCAAACATGGATCTGGGGGGCGTGGCTTCGCGACGTTTCCCCGTTGCCATGGGAATTCGCGGAGTTCCGCCGCCAAGCGAGGCGGCACCGGCCGCGTTTTGGGGAGGGCGCCTCCCCGGATCCATGGATTTGGCGATCGCGCGCGCCAAATCCATGGATCGCCAATCCATGTTTGCGCGCCCCCGACCAGAGGGGAGGTGGTTTGGGAAGATCAGGAGCGACAGTTAGTTGTACCGCCTGCGCCCAGAGGGCCTGTGGGACTCGAGGCGACCTCGCGGGAATCAGGCTGCCTCCCGGGAGGTCCGGGAGCTCTGGAGGTTTCCGGGCCCCGCTCACACCTGCAAGTTCGGTGCGTTGGGACGCGGGAGAGGTGGGGCGAAGGATCTCACACGCCTTGACCCCGACAGGGTCGGCGGATTCGAGCATCCAGAACGAGCATAAGCGTACACGTTCGGAGGCCCCGCTCGAATCTCTCCGGTTGACGTTGGCCCCCTTCCCCACGCGCCCAGCCCTTGCCGTCGTCGTTGCCGTCGTCCTTCGGGTTGGCGAAGACCCATGCTGGTCTCGCCTCCAATGGGGTTCCAGGGCCTTCATGTGTCCCCCTTCACCTCACGAGTCCCTCTCCAGGCCTTCTGCTCCGAGATCGAGGAGCCCCCTGCCAGAGCATGCCATGCCCTCTGCTAACCCTCGGGGGGGGGACAGAGACCCCACCCTGACACGTCGATTAGTGAAGTGTCCATTTTCGGTTCTCGAGAGGGCGCCGCGGCCGCTATTTTCCAGACTGGGCCCGAGGTCGTTTTCACTAAACCACGTTTTGCCAAAGGGTTTCTGTCCATCCCCGATACCCCTGCGGCAGCTCAGCACTTTGGCCCAGGTGGGCCCAGGCTGCCACGGCCTGACTCAGCTTCGCGGCGGCGGCGAGGGCAGCCAGGGGCGCCGTGCGATGGCCCGCGGCTCGAGGGTCGCCGAGGCCAAGAAGGCGGCCACCACCTCCCCGCCCGCGACCTCCCGGAGGGTGGCGAAGAGCGTCCAGAAGCGCCCGCGCGCGGCCCGCAGGGCCCGGCTCGCCGCGCCGGTGGAGCAGAGCAAGGAGCCTCCCGGGCACGAGGCCAGGCCCGCCCTGCAGGACCTCCAGACCATCGTCATCAGCCTGGACCGCCGGCCCGATCGGATGGAGGGCTGCGCCAGGCGGCTGGCCGCTCGCTGCCCTGGCCTGCCGGCAGAGCGCTTCCCCGCCACCGACGGCAAGCAGGCGCACATCGGCGCGCACGAGGTCGCGGAGTCCTGGAACACGGGCCGCAACGTGGAGTACCAGAAGCTGCGGGCCGTGAGGAAGGGCTGGGACGACCTCGACACGTACCAGGTCCGGACGCTGGCGCTGAGCCCCGGGGAGCGGGGCTGCGCCATGTCGCACATCAGGGCCTGGAGGCGCTGCCTGGAGCTGGCGGGAGGCTCGAACAGGCCGCTGCTGGTGCTGGAGGACGACGCCGCGCCCACGGAGGACTTCGCGCCGGCGCTGTCGCGCACGCTCCAGGTGCTGCCCAGCGACGCGCACCTGCTCTACCTGGGCTACTCGCAGGCGGCGGAGTGGCGCCGCGAGCTGAGCCCTGGCCTCGTGGAGGCGGAGTACGTGTGGACGACGGTGGCGTACGTGATGCGCACCGCTTCGCGAGAGCCGACGCGGCCGGACGGGGGTCGCGGCGGGTTCGTGCCGGGCAGGCGCGTCGGCGATGCCGTCGCGTGCGTGCCAGGATTTTGCAGGGCAGCCAGGAGGGAGGGAGGGGGGAGGGAGGGAGGGGGGGGGAGAGGAGGGAGGGGGGGGGGAGGGAGGGAGGGGGGGAGGGAGGGAGGAATGGCCTGGAGTCGGCCGACATTGAGAGATCCACGCTGTCGGAAGGCCACCATCGTCCAAGGTTGGACGATCCGTGCGGTGGCAGCAAGCAACGCACGGGTCGTCACGTCACGAACTTGTCGCGCGTCTGTATGTTGAACGGTCGGGTCGTTCTCGCGGTTCCCAGGCCTGCTGGGGCTCGCCTGGTCGGTCTCGTTGGCGTGTTCTGGCGCAGCTTGCGTCCGGCTCGCTCGTCTGGTCCGGGTCGTCCGTCCGCCTCCGCGTCCTCCTGTACCCCCTGTCTCATTCTCCCTCTCCTTTTCCTCCTCCTCCGTTTCCTCTCCCCCTCCTTCTTCTCTTCCTCCCTGCCCAGTCGCTCCTCCTCCCCCCTTCGGCCTCCCTTGCACGTGAGGAGGGATGTCTCCCCGTGTGGGAGTGGAGGGCGGCCCGTTGTGCGATGAGGCAGTGCTCTCGCGCGGGTTCGCTTCTCTGTTCTCCATGGCTCCATGTGTGTATGTTCCCAGGGCGCCTTTTCTTGGCCTCGCCCTGAGGCCCCGCCCCCCTTTTCCTCCTTCCCTCCGCCTGTAATTAAAGCTCTGCGCGGCCCGCTTTGCTTCGACCAGAAGAGGTGCGCTCTCGACCCGCGGATCAAAACGCGTATGTTCCCAGGGCCGTCGGGGGACACTTTCGGGCCGCCTGGGAGGCTCTCGGGCCACACTCGATGCCCAGCGATTCGTCCCCACCGCGGTTGTGAAGTGGCACGGCGCGGGCCATGCTGTTCCGGCCCTGCGTTGGACGCGCCCCGGCGCCTGGTTTCTGCCATTCCTCCGAGCATTTTTTTGGGGTGGAGGGCAATGGGTGAAATCTGGAATGCCGTTTCGATGGATGTTTGAGGCTTGAATCTGCGAGAGGTGAATCACATGACGGATCGAGTCTCGAGGTGCAAAAGTCCATACGGATTTCACCCTGAGCCCTCCACCCTAAGAAAATGCTCAGTTCCTGGGCGAGGAGATCATGCGGGCCACGTGCCCCTTGCTGTGTTGCGCATGCCTGCCCGGCCCACACGCCCGAGCCCCACGGGCATCAGCTTCCGCCTGTGCTGCGCGGGCATCGGCTTCTCACGGTTTGGGGGTCTTCCGGCTCCAGGTCTCCAGAAGGAGTCCTCCGCCTCCTCCTCCTCCTCCTCCTCCTCCTCCTCCTCCTCCTCCTCTCCTCTTCCTCCTCCTGCTCCTCCTCTTCCTCCTCCAGCTCCTCCTGCTCCTCCTCCTCCTCCTCCTCCTCCAGCTCCTCCTCGTCCTCCTCTTCCTCCTCCAGCTCCTCCTGCTCCTCCTCCTCCTCCTCCTCCTCCTCCTCCTCTTCCTCCTCCTCCTCCTCCTCATCCTGCTCCTCCTACTAGCTACTAGCGGCTGCAGGCTATGCTCACTTCGGGTCCTGAGAGTCTGGCCATGGCGTGGGGTTCTCGGTGGGGACTGCGAAAGCCACCCTGGAGAAGCGTCGTCCTGCTATTGGGGTGCACAGCTGGTGCAATCTGGAGATGAAGAAGGTTTGCCTCTGGTGTCGTTGATGGAGAGAGTGAGGACCATAAGGGATTAGGAGAAGGAGCAGGCAGGGGGGAGGAAAGGGGAACGAGGACGCGGTGAGCGATGCTGAGGGAGGGGAGGAGCACACGAGGGCGGTGCACGTCACATTCTTGCCCCCCCGCGCGTGGCTGTGTGTGTGTGTGTGTGTGCGCCCTCTTGGGCCCTCTCTGTGCCTTCCTCCCGTGGCCTCTCGTGAGCCCTGTGGGGGCCCCTCCCGCCGCCCTCTGTTGGCGCCGGTATCTCAGAGCGGAGGCCCCCGCGGTGGTTGGGGCCCTCGTGCCGGGTGCTGCGGGAGGCGCTCCTGGCTCAAGCTGCTCCCAGGATGGCCGCAGAGGCCCCCACGGCCTCCAGCGCACCCCTCACGAGGCCCCGAGGGCCCCTCCTGGGGAGACGATCGGGGGGGACAGGCACAGAAGGGGGGATGCAATGCATCGGCCCCCCAGTCGCCCATTGGTCTCCGAGGGGGGCCCGAGAGCCCGAACCTGCCCAGGAAGGTGCGGATTCACGATCGGAGGCCTCTCGCCGATCTATCGGCGATGCGTCGCCGACTCCAGGTCGATGCTTCCCCCTCGTTTGCGGCCCCCCCACCCCCCCCTATCGTTGCCCCTCAGCCCCAGAGGCTCAACGATGGCGCGCCCACCTGGGAACGCTCGGGGCCCTGGAGCGCCTCTGGCACCCCCTGAGGTCTGGGGTCGTCGTGGGGCAGCAGCCTGCGGCCGTTGCGAGGGCCCCGGGAGCCCTCTCGTGGGACATCCACCCGGGTGTGGGCCATCTTCGGGCATGTTCGTGTGGAGCCCTCCTCGAGCCCTCCTCGAAGAACAGGTACCAGTACCGCTACCCTTCGTCCGTTTCCCCTTTTTCGCCCTCCTGGGAAGTTCTCGTCGCCACCGTGGGATTCGCCACGGGAGAGGTGCGGGGAGTAGCTAAGTAGCGTTATCGATACTCCTTCATTTCCCCACTATCAGGGCGAACAGCTTAACTCGTCATCGTCAGAACCATCCCCCCCGACTGAGATAGGGCAGGTTGGCTCTCCCAGCGCAGCCCCTCTTGGTGGGGATGGGGGCTGAGAAATCTCACGGAGACCGCACTGATCCCCAGCTAAGGGGTGTGCGTCTTTCAGCGAAGCCAAGGTTCCCTTGGTTTGGGTGGTGACGGTTTTAGTTGTCCAGAGTAGCAAGACCGAGCACGTGCGCCTGGTAGGACCTCTTCAAAAGTCCAGGAGTTTGGTTTTCTTGGCCGCCTCCTGGGGTTCTCTTGTGCGGCTTTGGCGACATCGTAGGGCCTCTGGGACCGCCATTCCCTGCCCAGCAAGGGGCTCAAGACGGAGCAAACGACAATCACGCCGATGTCCCGAAGGGGCCGACGAATTTGGCCTTCAGGCGCTCGCATTTTGCTGAGCATGCTGCCGATCAACGAGCCAGTTGACAACTGGATGGCCGCCGCCTGCGCCTCCCACAGGATCAAATCGTATTGCGTCCGCCCCAAAATCGTTCACCAGGCCGAGCCTTGGAATATCAACTCGGATGTTGCGCACTCCGACGAGCATTACTGGGGTCCCTGCTCGGATATCCTCCACTCCGACGCCTTCTACTGGGACCCCGACGACCCGAAGGGAGAGACCGACCGGCGACTGGGAACTTGCGCGAGCTTGTGGGACGTGGGATCAGAGGACTCAGACGTGTGTGCCACGGGGGCGTGAGCGCACTGCTGCAGAACTGGGCGCCCAGTTCGATAGTTCTGTGTTGCCGCTCCTGTACGTCAAGCTGCAGCGCAGGCTCTGCTGCCATCTCGCGGACGTCAGGGGTGTGCCCGCGCCATTTTTCCACGGGTCCACACAACGGGGGGCACTAGTGCCAAATTGTGCGGATTTGCTTATTAGTAGTGCACATGGTTTCGGCTTATGCGCAAACTGTTTATGAGTGATATGCGATGCGTGGCAGGAGCCCGCTGTGCTGGCCAGGGTAAGCGGCAAGATCGCCTCCCCCTAGGGTATCGGGAGGTCCGCGGATCGCCAACCGTCCGCCGCGAGGCGGGCCTGGCGCTGCGAGCCCGCTTGGCCATTAATTATCGAAGAAGCATTCGGCGAACGACAGCCGCCCCCTGCCTGTTAGAAATGCCCATGCGGCCAAACCTTGGGCCAGAGTTTGGCCAAACTATTGGATGATGCAGTGTTCCCCCAGCCGTTATGAACCCCCTTGTGGGAACACTTTGGAAAGGAAAAGGGACTCGTCGGGCTTTTCGGCTCTTCGGGGAACCTCCTGAGGTCCAAGCGTGCTTTGAATCACAGATAAATGTGTACATGATGTACTCCTCGCACTCCACAGAGCACTGTGCACTGAATAGCCACCAACAGGCAACGAATGACCTGACAAAGGCGAGTGCGCTCCTCGTCAGGATGTGTTGGCACGACGTGGCCGAACGCACGCCGAGAGTCATCACGGACACAGCCTCATCCACCGCATCTCAGGAGACTGTCCGTCGTGCGCTGTGCGCCGTGAGGCGAGCCACGCGTCAGCCCCCCGGCGGGTGGGCCAGTGCACGGCCAGACCGCCCCGAGATCTCCTGACAGAGCGGGCCGCTGGCACAGCGCGCCCGGGGCCGCTGCACGGGGCCGCCGCCGTGCACGTGCACACGATGCGGCGACCAGACGACCACCGCTGCGGGCGCCGTCCGGGCCTGATCAGCTGAGACCGGGCGTGCCAGGCCGTGGCCTCGGGAACCTGGCGTGTCTGAACGGCATGCCTCGAAAGCGGGGCGAGGGCTGCCGAAACCGTGGCTGCTAAGACGGCCCTCCCGGAAGGAAAGGGCAACTTCCCGGAAGGAGGCGCGGCACGCGAAACAGTCAACGGGCTTCTTCTCGGAGGGACGAAGACAACTTCCCGGAGGTCGATTTTAGCAGCCACGGATTTAGCAGCCCTTGCCCGGCTTCCGAATGCCGTGCGAGGTGCATGAACAGTGAATGGAGGGAGGGAGGGGGGAGAGGCCCCTGGAGTGAGCAAACTCGGGTGCAAGAATGAAGTCGGGCCTGTCCCTCTACAGAAAGAGTCTTTTCAAAAATAGTAAAAAAACAGTTTGGGGGACTATCTTTGGAGCATTCCTCGACCATTGTGGGGTATGTTTTGACTATTTTTTTTCGTCCCAGCTCCCCCCGTAGGAGGACAGGCCCGACTCCATGCAAGGACGCCCCGGCCAGGCCCAACAGCGCCGCCCCCCGCAGCAGTAGCCCGCCGGGGGCCCCCCCCCCGCCCCCGGTCGACCCTCCGCGCGCCCGGCCTGCGCGCGTCGCCGCTGGCCGTGGGCACGTGGCCCGGCTCCCGGGGGCGCGGCGGGGAGGGGAGCCGCGCGCAGAGGCCAAGTCGGGCCTGTCCCTCTACAGGGGGGATACTCAGACATAGTCAAACAAAAAGTCTGGGGACTCTGTTTTGAGTATGTTGGGGCATCTTTTGAGCATCGTTAGAATATGTATATTTTTCGTCCGAAATCCCCCTGTAGTGGGACAGAGGCCCGACTTCACGCAGAGGGGGGGGCTAGGGGGGAGGGGGGAAGGCTTCTTGGCAGCACCCCTGCTTCTCAGAAGGCGCAGGCCTCCTCTTTAACTACAGGTGCAAGGCCGGCGCCTTCCAAGAAGCGGCCTCTTCCTGAGAAGCATTCCCCTCTCCCCCATACCATCTTTGTTCGGGTATGGCCTGGACCCCAGGTAAGGGGACCTGGTTAGTGGTAGGGCCCCGGAGCCTCTGATTTGGCCATAATCACTAAACCAGGTCTGCCGCAGCTGGTCTTTTTTCGGGTGATGGCAGTTCCGGTTAGTGGAACGGGGCGGGGGGGGCGTCCCCCAGTACACATCACTAAACCAGGTTCCACTAAACCCAGTTCTGCCAACGCCCGATCCTCCTGAGAAGCATTCCTCCCTCCCCCATACCATCTTTGTGTGCGCCGCCAAGGAAGCCTCTCTTGGCCCTCTGGTAGCAGTTTGTGGGAGCCTGGTGTGCCCTCTGAATGCCGTCCACTAGCGATTAGCGTGGATTCGCAAAAGCCGACAAGATGGTATGGGAGGCTCCCACCAGTTGCCACCGACGGCTTCCTGGGAGCTCCTTGAGGGCCTCTGAGGGACCTCTAGGGTGCCAGCCCCTGGGGGCCTCTCAAGGGACCTCTTGACCTTCGGAGGCCGTCTTGGGGACCTCTTTGGACAGTCGCGTTTTTTGGGGGGGGGCGCTTTAGGGCCGTCTTGGACATCTCTAGGGCCGTTTTGGGGCCTCATCTTCGGGTCCTCTGGGGCTGTCTTGCAGGTCTCTGGGGGGGCCTCTTGGGGGCCTCTTGGGCCGTGTTGGGGTGATCTGGGGGCGTACGGGGCCGCTTTCTAGCGTCGGAAATTCGAAAAGGCGAAAACGCTAAAATCATGGAAACACCTTCGTGATTTTAGCCTACTGGAGGTCCTCTTTGAGCCCTCTTGTGCCGTCTTGGGGGCCTCCTGGGCCGTCTGGAGGGCATCTGGGGCCGTCGTGAGGCCATTTTGGCCGTGAGGGAGGCGTGCAGGGACCGAATTGGGGCCATCTTGCGCACTTTTGGGGGCACTGTCAATCTGGGAGGTGTCTTGGGGACATCTTGGAGGCCATCTTGAGACATCTTGGCCATCTTGGAGGCCTTCTTGGCGCCGAGCCTCCACTGGGAGCCTTTCGGAAGGGTTCAATGCAGAAAAACATCCAGCACGCCAAGCGCCTGGGTCGTACACAAGCTGTGTGGCACCAGCACGTCTCCTTTGTGAGCAGACGTTGAGCATGTCTCGAGTCAGGCGGTGGTGTTCACACCCCATGGGCGAGCCGCCAGGGGATCTTTCGCTCGCCTGTTCACGGGGCTCCTGTTTCCCCCTACCACATCATTGGGGTTCTTATTATTCGTGTGAGTCATTCCTAAGTGAGGAACGAGATGCGCTCGTAAGTCCGAATATCATCCGGATCTAGCAGGCAGAGCATTTGGGCCCTCCACGGGTGAGCCGCCAGGGAGTGCTCAATCGCCACAGGCGAAGATTCTCCTGCTCGGACGCGGGCGGAAGGGCCTGGAACTGAGATGCGCATATGGGAATCTCTGCATCGAATGATTCTCCACATCCACCCTCAAGTTGGGTTCTTGTTACTCATCAGTCGCACATGGACCTCCTCCCTCACTCACCTCACACCCTCCTCCTCCTTCTCCTCATTCTACGCCTTCTCCTCCTCCTCCTCCTCTTCCTCAGACTCATTCAGTCATACTCAGACTCACTCATACGCAGACTCACTCACACCCAGACTCGCTCAGGCTCGCCCAGTGTTCAACGCGATACAGGAGGCGTGGCACTTGGGCACCCCAATGGGGGAGCAGCCAGGGTTGGAGACACTTCTCGGAGATGGATAGACCTCCTACCCTGACACGTCGATTAGTGAATTGGCCGTTTTCGGTTCGCGAGAGGCGTCGAGGCCGTCATTTTTGCGGGTCCAAATCCGTCGGTTTCGGTCCCAGGCCGTTTTCACTAAGGGGAGGTTTACTAAAGGGAGCTTTGTCCACCGCCGACTTTTATGCGCAACATCCTCTGCTGTCAGAGCCGTTTTGAGAGGATGCCTCTGGCGAGGCGCGGGTTTCGGCACTCCCAACGGGGAGCTGCCAGGCTGGGGACAGTCCAGGATTCGCGGCCAGAGTGTGGGGATGTCTCGGGCGGGTTGCCTGTTTTTGCATGCGCAACGTCCTCGAATCACGGAGCAGTTTTCAGAGGATGTTCTGGCTGGGCGCGGGTTCCCCCCCCCCCCCCCACTGGTGAGCCGACAGTGTGTGTGTGTGTGTGTTATATATATATATGTATAGATATACACATCACGGGCCCGTTCGCGCCCGGATTGCGGGGATGCTTCAGGCGGTCTGTTTGTTTCGGACCCCAGGCTCGTCTGCGTTCGGAGCAGACTGTGAGCCTGGCTTAGGCGGGGCACTGGCTCCGGCACCCCAAGGGGCCCAGACTGTGGGGATCTGCCTGGCGGTTTCGTTGCTTCGGTGCCAAAGACACGTAGCCGAAGCTCACGCTCACACCCAGGCCACTCACACTCGGACCACGCACACTCACATTCTGACCACTCAGACCTCTCAAACACACACATTCACACTTAGACACTCTCAAACCTCTTACACTTACACTCACACCCAGATTACTCACACTCACATGCACTCAGACCTCACACGCGCACACCCACACGCAGACTACTCACATTCACCCACACTCATGCGCATAGACTCACGTAGACTCACATTCAGACTCATTCATGTTCAGATTCACCCGCTCCCCGATGATCCTACACAGACCTGTTCATGGTTAGACTCGCCCGTAGGCAGGCGCTCGCAGCGGGGAAGGCGTGGGCACACAGATGCACAGATGGGGATCTCCGCGTGGCATCGTGCTAGATGTTGTTTCCTTCCCACGGGCAGGATCTGCATGTTGTTGCCCTCTCCATCGCAAGATGGCTGGTGGCGGCCGTCCCCCCCTCCCCCTCGCGCCCCTGGTGTCCCACGGATCCAGGGGGTCCCTCGGGCAAGTTCCAGGGCCTCCCCAGGAGAGTTGGGTAAGCAATGCTGTGCCAAGATGTGCGATGCTGTGCAAGGCCATGCCATGCCAAGCAGTGCTAGTTGGGATGCCGTGCGCAATGGCATGCCTGGCTTACCTTCTGCTACGCAATGCGCTGTGCCATGCGGTGCGTCACTAGGTTACGCAATGCTATCATATGCAACGCACGCGTGTTGATTATTTTGTGCTATGTTAGGCTATACTGTCTTATGAATTTGCACATCATTGAATACAGTGCCAGGCTATGTGGCCTTCGGTCCATCCCGCCATCGTGCCCAGGTTGAGGACGAGAGGCTTCTTAGAGACCCCTTGGTTTAGCTTGGGAGGCTTCTTGGAAACCTCTCCGGGGCATCCTCTGAGGCCCTCCTTGCCGGCTTGGATGCGGTCTCAGGGGTCATCTTGCGGTGGACCCTCGTGGACCCGTTGAAAGTTTGGCCCCAAAGCCACGCCAGAGGCCTCAAGGACAGCCACGGCCAAGGAACACAGAGTGCCCCACAGAGCCGCGGCGCGTCAATGAAAGACTGGAACCCGGGGTCTGGGGCCTTCGAGAGTGTTTTGAATTCTCACCCCAAGGGACTCGAAGGTGACGTGAGATGGTGGGCCATTTTGGCGGCCTCGGTGGCCTCAGAGAGCCTCAGAGAACCCCGGGGATGCGCCAGGGCCGCCCGGGGAGCCTGCGCAGGGGGCGGTGCATGTGCCCGAGCCTGGTGTGTTGGGGAAAGCGTAGAAGACTTACAGAAACCCTGCCAGACAGAACTTGGCATTCTGCCACGCCTCAACGCGCCATGGGGCACGGTGGCATGCATTGTGTCTCATTGCATGTCGTTGTGCATGTACAGGCCGCTTGTTGAAACGTATGTTTTGTTGGATCCGTGCGTCTTCCTACTTCAACACTTACGAGGGCGTCCTTTTGCCTGTCTCTGTGGGGATTGTGTGCCGACGCCCAACCTTACTCCAACGCTGTTTACCTGCTTCTTCCGAACGGCTTCGAATTGGGGTCTGGCCAGAATCGTTTCAAATGGGTCGCTTTTTGGCTTGTCGTTGGCCTTCTGGAGCTGGAGGGCTCCTCGGGGGAGCCCTGATTGGCACTGATGGAGCCGTTTGGGGTGGTCGTTCGGCAATTGGCTGCGCTGCAGGGGTCGGCCGCTCTAGGATTTGCCCTCGCATTGCACGCGGGGGCGGGTGGGCGAATAACCCTCCCTCCTGCTTCCTCCGCCTCTCCCTCTCCTCCTTGGCTGGCTGGTGCCCAGTATGGTGGAGCCCTGAGCGTGGGGAGGTGTCCAGCGGCAATCCCTGGGCGACTGTGAGGCCGTGAAAGCCCGCCGTGGGCCAGCTTCGAGGCGTTTCTCGGGCAAATGGTGCTGGGGGACCTTCAGGGGCAGAGCGTTCCCGAGGAGTTCTACCACGACGGTGCGTTGCGACGCGTCGAGGCGCGCTGATTTTTGGAATGGTGAGGCCATTTTGCAGGGAGCTCGCTGATTGCTTCGCATGGGGAGCGAACTGAGAACACACCAAGGCACATTAGGCTACGTTCGACACGCCTATCGCTGCAAGTGAGGTGGCGGATACAATACAAAGCGGTGGTCCACAGTCGATCACCGTCTGCGTCGCCGGTGTGCGGTTGCTGGGACAAGTTTTGACGCCTTCGGATACACCAGCCGCCTTGCGGTGAACGGACTCTCTGCTCTCTTTGTCACTCCTCCGTCGAAGGCGAAGTACAGTGCTCTTGACGGGTGTGCCCCCAAGGGTGGGTGTTTCGATTATGCTGACGTAGGCAGCCCGACATGTCTGCCAGCGCGTGCGCAGCGATAAAATGCTTGCCAGCGTGGACCCCAAACAGTAGGTTCTTGCACCCTCGATGCGCAATCTACGAACATGTGTCGCGCAATCTTTTTCTGGTGCATTTCATGTGGTGCAATCAACCTACGGAGATTGCGGTCGTCAACTCTTATGCTCAGGCAAACATCCCACCCACCCACCCGCAACTTGCTGGCAAAGCTGATGTGGCCATGATCTCAACGGGCGCACAGGCGCATAGAACCCACCCGCCCAGACGAGTCCGTCCTCCAGGTCGCGAAGTGCTGGAGGCGATCGTGACGGGCGCAACGCCAAAGACGATGGCGATGACAGTTGTGATGACGTTGATGCCGATGGTGGTAACAGTAGATATGGGGGTGATACGATGTCGACGACGAAGATGGTGATGGTGATGAAGAGGATGGTGATGATAATATCGGCGGCAGCGATGACGCAGCTGATCACGATGACGATGGTGTTGATGATGATGATGGTGTTGATGATGCTGATGATGATGCTGATGATTATGCTGATGAAGACGCTGAGGATGATGATGAGGAAGAGGAGCAGGAGGAGCAGGAGGAGGAGGAGGAGGTGGATGAATATTCTGACGAGAACGAAGACGCTGATTATGAATATGCTGCTGCTGATGATGATGGTAATGATCATGATGTTTGATGATGTTGCTGCTGATGATGAGGATGATGATGCTGATTCTAAAGATGCTGCTGCTGCTGCTGCTGCTGATGATGATGATGATGATGATGATGATGATGATGATGGATAATACTGATACAGATGATGATGATGCTGACGCTGATCACGATCATGACCATGATCATGATGATGCTGATGATACTGATGCTGCTGCTGACGATGATGAGGAAGAGGAGGACATGTCCGCGCGCAGAAATTTGACCAGTGCAGCGACTCTACGTTTTTGCTGGTAACGAGTATCCCGGTATCCCGACGATGGTATTGATGATGATGATGTTGATGATGATGACGATCATAATGACGATGACGATGACGAGGACGATGCTCACGTGACGCTGACGATGTTGACATTGCTTGTCCTGATGAGGATGCTGAGACGGTGCTCGCCCGCAGAAAACCAGACCCCGCGACATGTTCTTCATTGAATACAACGTGGTTTCCGTATGTGTTCAGCGCCTCCCTGTTGAAATGATACAGCATTAATGTTAAGTCGGGCCTGTCCCTCTACAGGAGGAACGTTCAACAATAGTAAACAATAGTCCGGGACGTTTCTGTACATATATATGTATACATATATATGTATAGATGTATGTATATGTAACTATTCTTGGGCACTTTGTGACTATTTCTTTTACCTTTCGTCCAAAAGCCGCCCGTACGAGGACACGCCCGACCTAACACCGATTGTGTCGGGCGGATTCAGCCGCACGCGCGCCGAGGTGCGCGCGTGCGGCTCCCCGCACTGCACTGTCGGACCGAGTTGGTCGGCGCGAAGGAGGAAAACACATTTTCTGGGGACGATTCTTTCTTTTCATGAAGAAATGCTTTTCAAACTCATTTTTGCTTCTTCTTTTTTTCTTTAGTATTTCCCCCCCTCCCGATTCCGCCTGTAGGGGACTTGCCCGACCTGAACTTCTTCTCAAGTCGGGCATGTCCCTCTGCAGGAGGAAAACAAATTGTCTGGGGCCGATTTTTCCTTTTCATGAAGAATGCTTTTCAAACTCATTTTTACCTTTTTTTTCTGGTGTATTTTCCCCCCCTCCCGATTCCGCCTGTCGGGGGACATGCGCGCGCGAGTGTTCCGCGTGCGCTGGGATCGACGGAATGGCTAGGCACGCGTGGCTTCCTGCAGATGTCAGCGACTGCGCGAGCGCAGACGTCTGGAAACGGTTCTTCGTTGATAAGCCACTGGTCTCTTTCTTGTTGTCCAAACGAAATTTTCGACCAACAATGCCTTGGCCTTGTAAAACTAAAATGGTGATTGAGGGCCTCTGACGTGCGCGCGTGGCGGCGCCGGCGCGCACGTGTGCCCCGTGTTTTTCCTGTGTGTTGCACTGGGTTCGCAGGCAGAACACGTACTCGCTCAACGCATGTGCACCGCCTATAGTGTTTGCACGACATGGCGGGGGGTGTCCTGGCCTGCATGCGGATATTCGATACTCAAGATGAACGATCGTTCGGTATAGACATGGCACGTCACACAGTGCGCCGAATGGCGTCATTAGCCCTGGCCTCGGAGGAGGGGGGGGTGTCATTTTAATTCTCGACCGCACCCGCGCTTGACCACCTCCAATGCTCGTGCTAAGATCCCACCTGGGCAGAATTCAGCTGCGCGACAACAACGACGATGACGATGACGATTCTGATGTTGAAGGCGACGGTGCGGACGATGTCGACGACAACGTTGGTGATGTTGATGACATTGATGGTGATGACGGTGATGAGGATGATAATGGTAAGGATGACGATGCTGATGATGATGCTGATGATGATACTGATGCTGATGATCATGATCATAATAACGATGACGATGACGATGGCGATGCCGGTGGCAATGATGACAGTGGCCATGATGACGATGGTGTTGGTGAGGATGGTGAGGAAGCGCCCGCGCAGAAACTAAGACATGGTTTACGCTTCGTTTATCCCCACCAGCCCGTACAGACCGATAATGAAGGACGCTGTCTGGATTGACGACGGAGACGACGAGGAGACGACGGAGACGACTCAGAGAAGACGACAGCGACCAACGGAAGAGCGTCCACACGCCGACAGGGTCGGCGGATTTTACCACAATGTGTACTTGCTTGTTTTTGTTGATTGGGATTGTGTGTCGGGTGTGTGTTGGCATGGTCCCTGATGTGTCGATTGTTGGGTGGGGGAGGGGATGTATAGGAATAAGGAACAGAGATACCCCCCTCCCCGAACAGGGGAATCATGGCTCTCGGAAGAGGGGAGACAAGAATCACCCCACTGTCTGCGCCTGGAGGGCTCGTTCGATCACCTGGGAGACGCGCAGAAGGCCTCTCAGAGCAGGCGCTGTCTGGGGAGAAAGTGTCGCCCAGCCATGCGGTGCCCAACGGCCTGTCGTGCGCGCGCTGCGCGCGGATGTGCAGGCCCGAGGGCGATGAGGCGCAGAATTTGCTGACCGCGGACGTGGAGGCGGCGAAGGCTGAGGACGACGAGTAAGCGCTCCCGGGTGCCTTCCGCGCGGGAAGGGCCGCGGTGTATCACAGTCGATGGTACGTAGAGGGGGGGTTAATTAGGCCCAGGTGAGGTTAGAGCCCGTTTCTTCATCCTCTCGGGAGCATGGCCCTTACCGGAGGGGGGGGAGGGTGCCGGGCACGTCACGGTTCTCGTTGGAGACGTTTGGGAATTAGTTGCCCTAGTTCACCCTCCTCTCTCGTTCCGCCTGGGCGCGAATTTTAGAAGGCCAGTGTGCATGGCGCGAAGACCTTTTGCAGCCGTGTGTATTGTATATACGTGCGAATGTAGCCATGCGTGCATGGCGCGCTTGCCATTTCTTCCTCGGCGGAAGGCGACGGATGTCAAACGGGGGCGGTTCCCCCGGCGGAATCCGGCGGAAGGATACCTTTCCCGACACTTTGCCCACGGTCTTCCCGACGCCCTTCCCGATGTCCTTCCCGACACCTTATCCGACGCCATTCTCCTCGATTCCCTCCCCGACGCCCTTCCCGACTCTGTTCCCCACTCTGTAGTACCCGACGCCTTTCCCGACGCCCTACACGACGCTATACCTGACGCCCTACCCGACGCCCCTCTCGACGCCCTTCCCGACTGCCTTCCCGACGTCCTTCCCGACGCCTTTCCCGACGGCCTTCCGACGCCTCCCCAACGTTGTTTCGGCGCCTTTCCCGGCGCCTTCCCGGGCGTTGAAGAATAAGCGCTTCGTGTAAAGGCCGATGCGCGCCGATCGGGCGGTCCTTGTGGGGATTTGTAATTTTGGTCTACGATTGAGATTCGCGTATCCCCACCAGCCCATTCACAAAACCTGCCCATGAGATCTGACTGGAAAGTAAACGAAGAGACACATACGGTGAAACAAAGCCGACAACCAGGCTGAACAGAGAGATTTTTTGAGCAAGGGGAGGGCCTTGAAAGGCCTCTTCGAGCCATCCATGGGGCCCGCGTGGGGGCGAGGGAAAGAGGAGGAGGACGACGACGATGACGACGACCACGAAGGAAGACGATGAGGGCAAGGACGAGGAGGAGGAGGAGGAGGAGGAGGAGGACTAGTGGAAGCCCAAGAATCATGAACGATGTTGGAATTCACCCTCCCTCCAAGCTCCCTCTTCATAGGCCCCTACAACGGTTCATTCCCATTGAGGGAACTGCATCGTTGGAAGACGACAGGTTGAGGATCCTGAAGCGTGCCAAAACATTGTTCTCTGGATGCCACGAATTAACCTGACTGCTGCGTCTTGACGATCCAGAACCGTGCCAGAACCTTCAACACAGCGAATCTCCATAACTGTTGCGCCCGCATCATCCTGAATCTCTCCAAAACACCATTTCTGGTAAGTTGATCATGGGACCCCGTGAAACTCTGCAAATTAAAAAACGAATGTGCGCGGCGCCAAGGGGAGAGCCACATTTTGAAAAGGAACTGGCCTCAATCCGTGAAGCTCTTGCAAATTTGAAGACGAATGTGCGCGGCGCCAAGGCGAGAGCCACATTTTGAAAAGGAACCACCCTCAATCCGTGAAGCTCTTGCATTTTTTTAAACAATGTGCGCGGTGCTAAGGTGAGAGCCACATTTTGAAAACCACCCGCCCTCCATCTTTGAAGCTGTTGTCACGTTTTGAGCTTCTGTGTCATAAATGGCGACGAAGTTTCAGGCGAAACGCCCGGCTCGCCCTAAAAGCTGGCCTCGGGGTGCGACAAGGAGGACTTATCTATAAGGAAAAGGAATGGAGGAGGAGGAGGAGGAGGAGGAGGAGGAGGAGGAGGAGGAGGAGGAGGAGGAGGAGGAGGAGAAGAAGGAGGGAGGCAACCAGGACGAGGACAGAACCCTCAACATCGCAGCCCTCTGGGGACTCTTCTGGGAGGTCTCAGGATCCTCTCGGGGCTCTTTTACAGGGGGTCTTGGGGCCCTCTAGGGGCTCTCTTGGGGGCCCGGTGGGGGCCTTGGATGGGCCTCTTGGGACCATCTTGGAGGGCGTCGGTGAAGAGGAGTATGCAATGCTAGTAAAAGATAAGATGGGTGCGTTTTGATGAGTATATGTTTGAACTTCTTGAGCTTATATGTATATCTATATACACATAAAAAGCTATTTTCAATTTTTCGTCCACAATCCGCCTGTAGGAGGACACGCCCGACCTAATCGTATAGTTTGGTGCCCCCCCTCCCTGGGGCCATCAAAGTCGCCTCTTGGGGGCCTCTAGCGACGATCTTGGGCCGATCTTGGGCACTATTGGGGCCGTCTTGGAGACCCTGGGCCCCTCTTGGGTTTTTCTTGCGTCCTCGTGGGGCCGTCTTTAGGCCCCAGAAGCGCATCGGAAGCGAAAAGGCGAGAAGGCGGCACAAATCATCGAGTTGGGCATCAGTGCAGCACATGGGTTGCGTTTCGTAGTTTTTTTGTTATAGCAAGAAGTCGTTCGTGGACCTGCGGACGGTGGTTCCTCCAGCTGGCGGGGTGTGAGACACTCGCGGATTTTTTTTTCGTCCCGTGAGCCACGTCTCAATGACGGCTCCGCTTCCTCCTGCTGCATTTTGCTTCAGGTCCGAGGACTGCGTCTAACGTGCGGCCATGGGCCCCCGATGCTCCAGTCGTGGCATGGAGCTCCGCTTGACGCTTGACAATGCTTTGCTGTTGATGGGGTAGTTTTTTGTTTGTTTGTTTTTTTTGTTTTCCTCTCTTCTCCAGGAGAACAGAGCGCCAGCAGGCCCACGACAAGTAGAGATCGCTCCCCAGGGGCAGCGTTCCGGGGGGGACGGGCCCGTGGGGGGAACGTGTCGACCCCCCAACCGCGCATTCATCGCCGAAGGGTGTCTGCTGGCCCACTCCGCCCAGGAGCCTGCGCATTCGCCGTCAGGGGTTCATCCCAGATTTATCGGCGATGTATCGCCGACTCAAGCTTTCTTCCCCCGCCCCTGAGCCAGTCTCCCCTATGGTTCCCACTCAGACGAGCATAGAGCGATCTGCAGTGTTCCAGAGCGTCCTGGAACGACCGCGGCGCCCGCGACACTGCCAGCTGCCAGAGATTTCCGAATCACTTCGGTCTGATCTTATCTTGGTCTTGGCTGCGTGTCAGTTGAGCGACCTGCCCAGCCCATTCCGATCCGATCGATCCGACTTCGGCATCGATCTTGGCCGGCCCGATCCGATGCGATTCTGATATCCCGACGAGGCGATGCTTTTTGCATCCTGGCCTCCTCTTCCTCCTCCTCCTCCTCCTCCGCTTCCGCCTCCCCCTCCTCCCCCTCCTCCTCCTCCTCCTCCTCCTCCTCCTCCTCCTCCTCCTCCTCGTCTTCCTCCTCCTCCTCCTCCTCCTCCTACCCCTCCTCCTCCTCCTCCTCCTCCTCCTCCTCCTCCTCCTCCTCCTCCTCCTCGTCCCCCTCAAGCAACTGGGGCCCGATTTTTTTGGGCCTGCCTCTGTGCCGTCCCGAGGCGCTTGAGGTTTCGTCTCCCCGCGGGAGACGACTGAATCAGAGGCAATCTCCCGCATCCCTCGGCGCCCGCTGCCATGGCGCCGCCACATCGTCGCGGAGGCTGGTCTGCTGCGGGCCCTCCTCCTTGGCGAGATTCTGATGCGAATGGCTACTGGAAGTGCTGCGCTTGCGGCTGTGGCAAGAACCTGGCCCGCTACTGGTTCTGCAAGCAGTGCCACGGCAAGCGCAAGGAGGTGGAGGCAGCGGCGCCCCAGCCGCCCAGCGGCGGCTGGGCTGCCCCCTGGGCGGACTGGGACAAGTGGGCAGCCAGTGGTGCCACGTCGGCGGCCCTGCCCGTGGGCCTCCAGGGAGGCACCAGCCCCCCGCCAGTGGCCGGCGACGAGGACAAGCTGTCCGAGGAGGAGCTGCTGCAGTTCATCTCCCTCCACAAGAAGATGGGCAACTCGTCGGCCGCCACGGCCCTCCAGCATCGCCTCGACAAGCGCCGAGTCGGTGATGCTCCTGTGCCGCTTCAGGCTCAGGCGTACCAGGTCGACCGTCATATCAAGCAGCTCGAGAAGAAGCTTCAGCATGATCTGGATCAGTATACTAAGTGGCAGATCTGGCTCCATGACAAGAAGGAGTCCATCGGTTCTCTTCGTCGTGAGCTGGCCGCAGAGGTTGGCAAGTACCAGTCATTGGTGGAGCAGCTGCGCACTCAGGTTTGTCCTCCTCCAGCGGCCCAGCCGAAGGCACGCGTGTCACTCCAGGACCTTTTGTCGGGCGAGAGTGATTTTCTGGACATGTCCAACATGGAGGAGGTGTTCGGCATCGACAGCTCGGTGTACGAGGTGCAGGAGGCCGACGCCAAGGAGCTGGAGAAGCGCACGACCCAGCTCAAGGAGGCCATCCAGGCATCGGCACGCCAGCTGTTCGGAGAGGCGAAGAAGAAGTTCGACGAGCTCAAGAAGGCCCACGCAGCTCATGTCGGCAAGCTGGGCAAAAAACGTAAGGTTGGTGCTGAAGGGGCGGCTGCAGCAGCGGCACCTGGGGACGACGGCGGGGGTACCAAGCCTGAGGCGGCGCCGCCTTCGAGCGCAGGAGGCGAGGGGACCTCCTCAGCGGCGTCGTCGGGGGCGCCACCTTCTGCGTCGGCCTCGGCATCAGCTACGGACCTCCTCGGTGCTGCAGATCGAATTCTCGGTCCACTTGCAGAAGGAGGCCCCCCTGCCAGCGCCTAGCTGGCAGGGGGGACATGACACACGTGCTGAAGGTAGTCCAGCGGCTACTATTCCCTCATCCCCACTGGAGCCCGACCAGGTTTCGAAATCACATTGGTCAAAATCGACTGGGAGTACCTGGTCATCGGCGGTGACTTCGGGGTCGACGGGTGAGGCCTTTCACCATGCGTGTGGGGCCAGCTCTGAGGCATCTGCCGTCGCCTCCAGGTTTTTTAGGTTGCCCCCAGGAGACGGCTTACCCTCTGACCCCTCGAATTTCTTATCTGTGCCCCCTTGCCCTGATTGCGCGTTCCAGTTGTCGATCGAAACGGTGAACTGTACGAGTTGGTCTTCCATCGAGGCGTGGCTTGTAACCACGTCTGCAAACATCGTTCTCGTGCAAGAGCACCACATCGTATCGGACGACGACGTAGCCAAGGCAGGACAATGGGCACTCAAGAGGGGTTGGAAATCTCGTTTCAATCCAGCTATCAGAACCGCTGCAGGAGGCACCTCGGGAGGTGTCGCAATTTTGGTCCGCTCCTTCCTGGGCTTTCACGATCCCGAGTTCGGCCCGATCGTCGTCCCGTCCAGGGCTATGAGTGGAATCGTCCAGGTGCCAGGGGCCGTTACGGTTTTGGTCTCATCGGTTTACCCGTACGACAGCGAAGAACTTACAAGCAGGAATCTTGACATACTGGCGGCCGTCTCGGCCAGGCACTCGCTCTACGAGGGTCCTAATGTGATAGGTGGCGACTTCACTATGATTCCAGATGTCCTGGTGTCCTCGGGAGTCCCTGGGTATCTGAAGGCGAATGTTATATACCCTGATATCGGCACATGTTCTAGTACTGGGGGTTTACGAGTCCTGGACTATTTTGTGCTATCGTCAGGTTTTACCCGTTGCATTCAGGAAGTCACCGCCGCCCTCGATAGCGACATCAAGACGCACACGCCCGCGCGCATTCTCTTCCGCCCGCAGTTGGCTGAGCTTAAGGCCCTCACTTTCCTCCGACCGCCGAAGTTGCCAGCGGAGTGCCCGACTGGCCCCGCGCCGTGCACGGAGGATCACGCTCACGTTTTGGACTGCGCCCGTGAAGGGCGAGAGCTTATCCAGAGGCGCGAGTCCAGAGCCAAAATTCAGAAGCACCTTGACGTTTTGTACCGAGTTTGGGCTGATGCTGCTGAGTGGGAGTCATCCAGGGTCCTTCAGACGGAGCTCATCATTTGGGGCTCCCGCGGACGGCGGCCTCGTTTGGCCTGGGTTTCGGCTCTGGAGAAAGATTCGCGCCCCCCGACTCGTGATCCTGGTCTTGTTGCTGGTAGGTGGCTGTCCAGGACTACGAGATTCATCTTGGGGGCTTTTGACTCTGGAGCTTCCGGAGCGTTTAAGCGTTATAGGGCCCACTTTCTGGAGCCCCCTCCTCATGTCCAACGTGCTTGGGAAGGGTTTCAAGAAGATTATCGTCTTGGGTGCGAACTCCTCCATGGTTTTCAGGATGTTTGCGAAGACGAGTCACGTTTTCGAGAGTTTCACGCTCAACTCGAACCTAGATTAGCAGAGTATGCTAAGTCTTCCTCACAGCGTTCGCTAAAGGAGTGGCGTAGTTGGCTTTTGGACGGCGTCGACAAAGGGGGAAAAAACGCCCGCCGCTGGACTCGCGAGCTGAAGCCCTGGGTGGCCACGACCACGCTGTCGGCCGACGGCCTGGTCCTCTCGGATCCCATGTCCCTCCTGAAGTCGGAAGGGGAACGTTTCGGGGCTCTCTGGGAGTCTGCCTCGCACCCGCCGCCCGAGGATCAGGAGCCTCTCGAGTTCTTGGAGCCTTTGGATGTTCTCTCGGCGGACGATCTGATAGCTGTGAGTGGGGCTTATGCTTTAGGCGCGGCTTCCAGCGTTGATGGGTTTCACATGCGGCATTTCGCCCTTATGCATCCCGACTTGCTGATTGCCGTCAGCACCATGTTTTCGATGATGGAGGCCGCCAGTCTGTTGCCCCACCCCGCCCAGGTGCTGCTCACGTCACTGCTTCCGAAGCCTGCAGGAGGCTACCGCCCGATAGGGTTTTTTCTCGGCACTCTACAGGCTGTGGGCTCGCGCTCGGCGCCCTTACGCAGAGCGATGGGAAGCCGAGCACCAGCGTCTCTATTTGGCATCAGGCTCGTTCAATTCAGCTTCGGACGTGGTGTATCGTCAGGGAGTTAAGAGCGAACATATCGTCGGTCGAGGGATGAGTTGTTGTAAAGTCTTGTGGGGCCTATGTAAGTTCTACGAAACGATTTGGCTTCCCAAGCTCCTCGACCGTTGCCAGTTGCTCGGTTTCCCGATGCAGATCGCCAGAGTATCTAATAGGGCTTATCGTGGGGCTCGTTTCATATCGCTAGGAGGTCTTCTTCATGGACCTCACTTCGCCACGCATGGGGTGGTTGCGGGTTGTAGCATAGCGACATCGTGCGTCAGGGTTTACATCATCCCAACCGTGGATCTCATCAGGCTCCCCAAGCAGGTCTCCTTAGACATTTATATAGACGACTATGGGCTGTCGGGTTCGGGGACTTCGAAATCGGTCGTGTCGTCTTTGAAGCGGGCCTCGGTGGACCTCCTGGTGGCCCTGGGGACCGATATGGAGGCTACCATATCTACCGATAAGGCGGCAGTAGTGGCTTCTCACGCCGACGTAGGCCAGGAGATGAAGTCGTTTCTCGGAGCGTACGGCGGCCCCTCGGCGGACACCAGCTCTGCCATCAACCTCGGGGTCGACGACGGTGCCGGGAAGGCTCGCCGCACCAAAGGTCGGGGTAGGAAGGCTCAGGCTAGACAGGTTCAGTTTAGAGCACGCTGCCGACGGGTGCTGAAAGCTCGTCAAGCTCTAGGCCGGCACACTCGCAGGATTTTTGTTTCAGGGCCGCTGGCACCAGTTACTTACGGTTCAGAGGTTTATGGAGTTTCCGATTATGAGTTGGGAATGTTACGATCTGGTTTTGGGAAGTCTGTCAAACCTTCGGCGGGGTCCAGGTCCCTTACTTCGCTGTGTATTCTGGAAGGGGACCCAGTTTATCATGCTGCTATTTCTCCGGTTGCCAGATATTCCAGGGAATTGTGGGATGCCCAGGTTCAGCAGACTCCCTTTGCTCTAGGCTTCGCGGGTCTACGCGACGCTTGGACTCAGACGTTGGCCAACCCGCCAGCTGCGTGGCGGCAGGTGCGGGGCCCCATAGGTGCTATGTTTCTGTCCCTCAAGCGCATCGGCTGGAGCATGCCCAGCTACGCGCAGATGACGAACGACCTTGGCGTCACCTTCTCTCTCGCGACCTCCTCCCCCAGATTGATCAAGAACCTTCTGCGGGAAGCTGTCATTCGTCAACTGTGCAGGCTGTCAGGCGAGAAGCTCGGAGTTGGTGCCAGGCTATGCTACGATTCTGTGATTCGCGACCTCAGCAGCTCGAAATACACGCCGTTCGAGAAAGGCTCGATCAGAGCCAACGTCTGCGGTGCCTGCTGGACCAAGGAGCGTGCGACCCAGTGTGGTTACCAACTCCAGGACACCAGCTGCGCTTTGTGCGGCGGGCCCTCGGATTCGATGTTCCACAGGCTTTGGGTTTGTCTTGACCCTGAGGTCGCGGAGCTCAGACAGGAAATTGTAGATCCCGATGTGTTGCAGGCGGCCAATGAGATTGACCCTGCTTCGTGTTCCATGGAGGATTGGATTTTGTTCACCAAGGGTCTCTTCCCACATCCTGGGGACCTTCACCCCCGTCCTGTTCCTGAATGTGCTCCAGAGTTTCGATGGGAGGTTGATCAAGAACATGAAGATGAGCAACTGTTTTCTGGTTCTTATGTTTTCATGGATGGTTCTTGTCAGAAGCACGTAGTGAAAGAATTAAGCAGGGCAGGGTGGGGCATAGCGGTTTTCGATTCTCAGCAGGTTTTGAAGCTTAGAGCCTGGTCCCCCCTGTGGGATCGGTTTCCTCAGACCCCTCAGGCGGCCGAGTTCGGTGCTCTAGCTTATTCTAGTCTTTGCCTCACTGACCCTGCTCCAGGGTACACAGACTGTCTGAATGTTTGTAGGGCCTTTAAGTTCGACCGTTCTAAGAAGCTGTCGTACAAGAGGCCCTACTCGGGCCTCATGATTAATGTTTTGGGGACCCGTTTTTCTGATTTGTTCAAGGTGAAGGCCCATGTGGCCGAGTCGGACGATCTCTCCCCCGAAGATCGTTTCTTTAAAATCGGGAACGACGAGGCTGATCGATCAGCCAAGCTTGGGGCCGTTGCTCACCCCATGTGTTCTGATGAGCAGCAGACAAAGCTGGACTGGCAGCTCAAGGTGTCGCGCACAGTCTCGCGCCTTGCGGCCAAAGTTCTCGTTTCTTGGCCCCGTCTGGGCCTCGCAGACGTTCCCTACATCGCTCCTCCTCGCCCTCACCGCCTTGGGGCGGTGGCGCCTGAGGGAGAGCATGTCTGGGTTTGGGTCAAGTCTTTTTGGAGGTGCAATCGTTGTCTCAGATTTCGCAGGCAAGCTGCGCGCCCCTCGTGCGACGGCTGCGCAGGAGACCTGCCTCTGGTTGCCCGTTCGGTGATTGAACGGGGTCATTCGTGTCTGGCGCTCGAGTGCTCGAACGATCAGATCTTAAGTATCTGCACCCGCTGCAAAGCGTTTTCGGCCCTCGGACAATTTAAGCAGCTCCGCCATGAGTGCACCCGCCCACTCGCCAAGGCAGCGGAGTATTGGTCCAGGGTGGAGCGCGGCTGGCACCCGAAGGAACGCATTCGGGTGGAGTCAATCCCCATCAGGGAGTAATGCTGGTGGCTGGCAGGGCGCTCGTCAAAACTCCTCCTCGTCCCCCCCTCTTCGTCCTCCTCCTCCTCCTCCTGCTCCTGCTCCTGCTCCTCCTCCTCCTCCTCCTCCTCCTCCTCCTCCTCCTCCTCCTCCTCCCTCCTCTCCTCCTCCTCCTCCCCTCCTCCTCCTCCTCCTCCTCTCCTCCTCCTCCTCCCTCCTCTCCTCCTCCTCCTCCTCCTCCTCCTCCTCCTCCTCCTCCTCCTCCTCCTCCTCCTCCTCCTCCTCCTCCTCCTCCTCCTCCTCCTCCTCCTCCTCCTCCGCCCTCCTCCTCCTCCCTCCTCCTCCTCCTCCTCCTCCTCCTCCTCGCCTCCTCCTCCGCCTCCGCCTCCTCCTCCCCCCTCCTCCTCCTCCTCCTCCTCCTCCTCCTCCTCCTCCTCCTCCTCCTCCTCCTCCTCCTCCTCCCCTCCTCCTCCTCCCTCCTCCCTCCTCCCTCCTCCTCCTCCTCCTCCTCCTCCTCCTCCTCCTCCTCCTCCTCCTCCTCCTCCTCCTCCTCCTCCTCCTCCTCGCTCTCCTCCTCCTCCTCCTCCTCCTCCTCCTCCTCCTCCTCCTCCTCCTCCGCTCCCTCAGCCTCCTCAACCTCCTCCTCCGATCCGATGCGTCGAGTCGCTGCTGACTGCTCCTGCCCCGCCCGCGCGCACCGCGGCCGCTCAGGTGGCGAGCGCCTCCCCGGCTTGGCCGTCGTCGGCCGCCTCGGAGGCTGCCTCCCCGCGCAGGCCCCCGGCGGCCTGCCTCTCTCTGGGGAGGGGTGCCCCAGGGGTCGCCCTGGCCCAGGCAGTCGGAGGAGAAAGAGGCACCCATCCCCCCACCCTTCCCCTGTTGTCCCCTTTTTGGGGCGAGGACGTGGACGAGGAGGAGGAGGAGGAAGAGGAGGAGGAGGAGGAGGCGGAGGAGGAGGAGGAGGAGGAGGAGGAGGAGGGGGGAGGAGGAGGAGGCGGAGGCGGAGGCGGAGGCGGAGGCGGACACGCCGCTACCCCTCCCCTGTTTACCCCTTTTTGGGGCCACCTCGGAGGCCCTCGTCGCCACCGCCGGGTTCGCCTCGAAGTTCTGGTCGGAGCGCACCCCGGGGAGAGGTCCGGGGAGCAGCGATATCAGTACCTTTTGGTCTCCCCAGGCAGGGCTGCTCGCGGTCGATATCGTGGCCAGTTCTCCATGGCGACGCGATGCCATCCGAGCCGCGAGCCGGATTCCTCTGCTGCTTGCAGGTGTT